TTTGATTTGATTCGAGTTATATAAATTTTAAACTTGACTCAATTTGACTCGACTCGATTTTAACTCGATTCGATTTTAAAAAAAAAATAATAATAATAAAAATGAAAAGAACAATTCCTTATTGTTCTTCTTGAACGATTTTTTTATCGTTCAAGTCGAACGATTCCTTATCGTTTGACTTGAACGATTCTTTATCATTCTTCTTGAACGATTTTTTATCGTTCAAGGCGAACGATTCCTTATCATTCTTCTTGAATGATTTTTTTATCGTTCAAGTCGAACGATTCTTTATCGTTCTTCTTGAATGATTTTTTTATCGTTCAAGTTGAACGATTCTTTATAGTTTTTCTTGAACGATTTTTTATCGTTCAAGTTGAATGATTCCTTATCATTCTTCTTGAACGATTTTTTTATCATTCAAGTTGAACGATTTTTTTATCGTTCAAGTCGAACGATTCCTTATCGTTCTTCTTGAATGATTTTTTTATCATTTAAGTCGAACGATTCCTTATCGTTTGACTTGAACGATTTTTTTATCGTTCAAGTCAAATGATTTTTTATCGTTCAAGTCGAACGATTCCTTATCGTTCTTCTTGAACGATTTTTTTATTGTTCAAGTCAAATGATTCCTTATCATTTGACTTGAATAATTCTTTATCGTTCTTCTTAAATGATTCTTTATCGTTCAAGTCAACTCGAGTTAACTCGAATCAAGTCGAGTTTAAATCGAGTTGAGTTAAATATTTAACTTGACTCGAATTTGGCTTGACTCGCAAATCATCAAGTTAAAAAAACATAAACTCAACTTAATTTGAACTCAACTTAGCTTATCTGACTTATGAGTTAACTCGACTTGTCTAGAATTCTAATCAGGGGTGTTTCCACCCAAAAGAGTGCCAAATACATTGGAATTTTCCCTCATATATGCCTTGTATTGAATGTGATAAATGAACTTATTCTAAATATAGATTTTGCGATTCACATGCTAGAAAGTACCGTAAAAGAGAACAGTATCATCAGAAAAAGCTGGCTAAGATTACTTCGGCAGAGATACTGGTAGGTAATTTAGAGGTAAATAAAAATGATACGACATGACACTAGAAATAAAAGCTCATGTCAGAGCTTGTGATGCGAATGATAGGCTCTTTAAGAATCCTAGCCTGAAAGAAGCTTTTCTTAATTAGTGTCACAAGTGTCACAAGTGTCATAGGAAAATATTGAGTTTCTTAACTTTTTTTATTTTTTTTAGCATATATATATATATATATACACACATATACTATAGAGATAGTATAGAAAATATTTTTTTTCCTAAAAATTACTACTTTTTACTCGTAATACTTGTGACACTAATCAAGAAAGAAATAAAATAGCCTAATAATCTCAAGAAAGATAGCAAACCCGTTACAGGTTCTATCACAAATTAGTATTTAGAACCTGAGACACTAGTGTCACCTATTAAGATACAATATATTTTATTATTAAAGATACATAAAAAATAATTATCCTGAAGTGTATACAATAATGGATTTCAGTCCCTAGAAAGGCAACTAAATAGGCGCAAAGGGAAAGCACTCCAATATAGAATCCAGCATCTAGCTAAACGTAGGAGGCTAACACTTCGACATAAAACCAGATATCCAAATAGCTATAGAGGGTCAACAACCCCATCATAGAATTTAGTATGTAAACGAATTAAAAATAAGAAGAAAGCGGTTATTATTAGATCGTGATACTACCATTAAATTAAAGCATTACATCTGTCATTAGACTATAAAGTTATTATCGTATTATACAGAAAACAGTTAAAATAATATTATAAATACAAAGGAGATATTCGCATGTAGGTTATGAAGTTGCAATTAGATTATGATATCAGGTTATGAAATCACCACCAGATTATGTAATTAGATTATAAAGTTATCAGTAGACTATGAAGTTACCATTATATTATGAAGATACTAGCAGACTATGAAGTTACCACTATATTATGAAGTTATTAGTAGACTATGAAGTTACCATTATATTATGAAGATAATGACAGACTATGAAGTTACCACTATATTATAAAGTTACCGGCAGACTATGAGTTACCTTTATAACCTAATCTAAGTCGTATATAACTTCATAATATAATTATCACATGTGACTAATATTATAAAAATTACAAAAATAAATCATATAAAGATTATAATAACTCTTAAAAGTATTTGGAAAGATGTGATATATTTAATTATAAAGTAGTATAATGATTGAATTATAAAGATATAATATTATTATAATATATAAATAAAGAAATAGTTAGAATGCTAAAAAAATAATTAATATTTAAATAATAATAATATAAAAGTTTTTATTCAAATTATAAAATTGAGTTATATTAAAATAATTAGATTATTATAAAGTAATAGTTATGTTATTATATAAAATCAAATTATATCTATATTATCTAAATTATGAAGTTATAATATAATAAGATTATATATGTATTATTCAGATTATAAATAATAATTATAATCTAATTTAAGTAATATATTACTTTATTAAATTTTAATTAATAATAATCTAATAAATATTTAAAGACTATTTATATAATATTTTATTTTTAATTAATTTTATAAGATAATATATATTTTTATTACTATATATAATTATCTAAAATTATAATTATATAAACTAATTATTATTTAATTATAATTTTAGATAATTATATATAGTAATATAATAGTATGCAAAAAAATGACAATTTTATTATAGCAAATTATAATTATATAACTTCTTTAATTTTAATTATATATATATAAATAAATTTATAAATAAAAGTCTTATAATTAAAATAATATTTTCAAGTAAACTTTTTTATACTTTAATAAAATATTTAGTTTATTGAGCTTTAAAGTAATTTTAATAAAAAAAAAATCTAATTAAATTTCTAAAGGCAAAAAATATACCATCATGTTAAAATATACTTATTAATAAGAAGTTTACATAAAATATTACTAATCTTAAAAAATTTTTAAGAAATTAAATGTAAAAATACTTTAGTATAACATTTTAATTATTTTATTAAGTTATTAGTTTTTTATTAAATAATTTTTTGAAAATAATATTCTAAAGATTATAGATTAATCTTTTAATAATCTAGATCTAAATCTCATTGAAAAATATTGGATAATTATTAAAAAAAATATGGGATTATATGAGCTAAAAATTTTAGTAAATTAAAAAGTTTTAAAAATAGTGATTAATAAAAAATATCAAATAGTCTTATAATTAATTTTATAGATTTGATATCATAACATTATATAAATGTTATTAAAAAAAGTAGAAAATAAATATATATATATATTTTTTTAAAATAAAATCTACTACTTCTTAGCTTTAAATTGATATATTATACATTGTAATAGTTTTTTTTAACTATTTTAATTTAAAAATTGTCAATTTTTTTGCATATCATTTTATAATATAATTATTTTAATAGAAAATATAACATATAACAATTTCATAATTATATTCATAAAGTATGCAATTAATGATTGTAATATTACAAAATTGAAAAAATTAAATCTATAATGAAAAAATATCAAGATGTAAATTTGTTTTTACATCTTTTCTTAAAATTCAAATATAATCCTTTCTATAAATATTTATTAATTAAATATTAATTAAAAAAAGAAAAAATTTCTACATATAATTGTATAATTTATATTTGCAATTAATACACAAAATATATATATTATAAATAAAAAAAAATATATATTTGAAAATTTTGCTTTCATAGTATCACAATTTTGTATATTAGATAATGTTCTGTAAATTGAACAGATCACGTGGAAATGAAAATTTCTGGGGAAGATTCATGGTTACCCAAAAGATTGTGTCATTACACTTTATCAACAAAAGATTACATATGGGGTGAATTGTCATGTGATTTGAAAATTGATTTGATATTCGTGCATTGATTATGATAACAACTCATGTTCGGAAAAGCAAAGTCACACGAAATATAAACTGATCCTTGTGATAAACGGAAGTTACGGATCATAAGACATTCACAAACCCTCCTATTTAGGATTCCAGTCAGTCAAATGTTCAAATCACATGCAATAAAAAGGCATGAATAAAAGATCTCAGAGATCAACAAATTCCTATTCCGTCTCCATTACTTTTGATCACCAAGATATATATAACTTATGTGTGGTAGTGTTTTGTGTGTGAACATTGAATTAATTTATTGGTTTCGAATAACTTTTCCTTTTAATAGGTTCATTATCAAAAAAAAATTTTTTTTTTCTTTTTTCCTCTCTTTTTAACACCTTAATTACTAAAATTAAAAAAAAAAAAATGTCTTTTGAACAAAAGGAGAAAGAATCCATTAAAATCACAACCGAGATCGAGGAAACTGCAGAAGCTTCAGAACTACAACCGACACAACAACAAATAACGGCAAACGTTAATGATGACGATAGCAACGACAACAGCGAAAATAAAAATAATCACAATGATAGCGCACCACAAACAAGTAGTAAATTTAAGAAGTTCGTAGTTGGTAATGAAGAAAGTCCCGATGATTATAATTATTCGACATCGCATGAAAATGCCAAAGATGTAGTGGAAAACCATAGGGATACAAAATCAAGGTATTACAAACCTTATCCAGCAGAGGAAATTGCTAAAATTGCAGAGGAAAAAAGAAAAGCTCAACAAATTGAGAGTGATGATAAAGAACCTGTAAAAGATACGGTTAATACTAATCATACGAGCGCAATTCAAATTCAATCGGAATCACAAACGCCACAACAACAAACAATTCAGCAACCAACACCTAAAGAAGAAAATGCCATTAGGACGAATTCATTCGAAACGTCAAAACCCACATCGGAATCACATCAAGCAGCATCTCCTGTTGCCACGACAGTAACTGCTACAACACAACAACAACCTACAACATCAGTACCTTTGGCAAAACAATCCATTCTTAGCACTCCAGCAGAATCACCGGATTCAACACCAATTCCATCACTTTTAGAAAATATTCATGACGCTTCTTACGTTAATTCTTCTCTTCTCAAACCTATTAATAATTCAGATCAAAATCAAAATCAATCTAATCATAATGATAATTATAATATGCTACCCTTAACGCTAGATGATTCTTACACATCTGAACCATTGAATTTTCCACATCAACCTCAATTTCCACCTTCAGGAGGAATATCACGTACTCAACAAAAACTTTTCCTTCAAAGACAGCATTTTCTTGCAGATGACGAAAATTATTTAATTCATCCGCGCAATCAATTAAGACTAACCAAAGTTATTGAAAGGATCAACAGAGAACATGCTGCTATATTATTATGCAGAGATCCAATTATTGAGAGCTTACAGAGAGTTTGGCCAAAATATGTTCAAGAACACCCCGAGGTGCTGGATGACGATTTTGGTGTGGGATATGAGGATGCAAAGGATTGGGGGGGAATATCTGACCACGGAAAGAATTCGGATCAAATCGTTTCTAATTCAATTATAAATAATGAATTGGGTGTTGTTGATTCTATGAATTTACGTGGGATAAGATAAAAAAAAAAAAAGGATCATTATAGATTTTGATTTTATTCTTCAAAAAATTTAGATACATTTTATTTTTCTCCCTTTTTTTTTTTTTTTTTTTTTTTTAATATTATAACGAACATTTTCGTGTGAAAACAAAAAAATAAATGCAAATCAAGATGTTGGAAAGATAACTAACATACAAATGAGAATAAATAAATAAACTTAGATTTAATATAAAGATAAATTGTGATAGTTCTCATTCATTTGACGTGTACGAAATCACAAATAAGTAATCTGAATATTTTTATCACACCAAACTGTCATCACGCTTAATTTTAGTTAATCGATTAGGAATAAATCTTCCCCACATCCTCAATACGATTCCTTTAAAATAATTGTGACGTCTAAAAATGGTTCCTACAACCAATAATATCAAAGAGTATAACGGAAGAGTTATACTGAGATACGTAAGCCTATAAGACCATGGACCATCTATGAAACCACCTATGTAACAGTATTTTATAATTTTAATTTGTCAATTTAAATTTTGAGTTTGAAAAAGTTACGTAATAGATTTCGATATTTACCTTCAATTCCAAATACATTAGTGACAATTGGTCTAACAATTCTAACGGTTGTTGATCCAGTGATAGCAAACACCGTGAGAATAATAGTCAATTCTTTCCACCATGTCCAACTCCACCTTTTCATTTCTTCTTGCTCACAGCCACTCTTAGTAACATACTGTCTTGCATTCAATGAACTACTACTACTATTATTACTCTGATAATGTAATAATGATTCATTAACTTCAGGTCGCTGTTGCGTTAAAACGGAATCATTCATTTTATATTTTGAGCGAAATGATATTGATAAGGGTGAAATATTTTTGCGCGCTGCTTGATGAAAATTATTTTGTTGTATACCTTTACTTGAAAAGTTAGAGATGACTTTTTGAGAAAATGCTTTTGAATGAAATGTTCCGCTATTACGAAGAAGAGTACGAGAAATAAGTGTCGAAGTTCTAATAAACATTTTTTTTTTTTTTTGTTTATTTAAAAAGTTCTACCCCAAATTTCATTATAAATGTTTGGATAATCTTGAAATTTCAAGATTATCAACCAAATTTTTTAAGTCCCCCAACTTTTTTTTAAAAAAATTTCTTTTAAAAATGGCATTACTCGAAAGTTCTTGTCCCAACTTGGAACTTGTCACTCGTGGAAAAGTTCGAGACTTATATCGAGTAGACGATAACACTTTATTATTCGTAGCAACAGACAGAATAAGCGCGTTTGATGTTATCATGAAAAATGTATATTATTTTATCAATTATATATTTATTTTTAATGCGTAAGCTGAAAGATTTTTTTTTTTCTTTATATAAAAACAAGGGAATCCCAGGGAAAGGAAAATTATTAACACAATTAAGCGTTTTTTGGTTTAATTATTTAAAGGATATGTTACCAAATCATGTTATAACCACTGAAATTGATCAAATGCCAGAAAAAGTACAACAATATCGGGAACAACTAGATAATCGATGTTTGCTTGTTAGAAATTTAAAAGTTTTTCCCGTGGAAGCTATCGTTCGTGGATACATCACCGGTAGCTCATATCGAACACTTTCCAAAGATGTCGTTTATTATTTTCAATTGAAGTTTAACGGTAGGAGTGTTGTCAATTATCGTAGGTTCCGCTTGGGCTGAATATAAAAAGAAAGGAACAGTTTGTGATATTACTTTACCTGAAGGATTAAAGGAGAGTCAACAATTTGAGTTGCCTTTATATACTCCTAGTACTAAAGCCGAGATTGGACAACACGGTAAATCATATTTTTTTTTTTCTATGTATAAAAATTTAATTTACTTTCTAATTTAAAAAAGTTTTTTTTTTTTTTTAGACGAGAATATTCATCCTAACAAAGGTAGGTTAATGAGCTTTTGTTATCATTATGACTTAATGATGAATCGTAGATCTAACTTTGTTTAAAGTTCCCGAAATTATTGGAGAAAAATATGCACGACAAATTTCAGAAATTTCATTGAAATTATATACAAAGGTCCGATTAGCTTTGATGACTTTTCATTCCTTTTTTTTAAAAAATAAAAGAGAAAATAACTTATTTAATTTACCATTAAGGCAAAAGAATATGCCTTGAGTAAAGGAATAATTATAGCAGACACAAAATTTGAATTTGGTAGAGACGATGCGGGAATTCTATATCTTGTTGATGAAGTATTAACTCCGGGTAACGATAATTAAATTCTATACTCGTGTGTATAACATATATTTTATAATAAGGATATTTTACCAAATATGGTTCTTTTAAAAAAAGATTCGTCAAGATTTTGGCTTGTTTCAAATTATGAAGTTGGAAAATGCCAAGACAGGTAAATTTTTTTTCCTTTTTTAATAAAAAGTTATAATTTTAGCCTAATCCTCCCTTATGTAATATTTTAGTTTTGATAAACAATATTTAAGAAATTATTTATTAAGTATTGGATTTGATAAAAAAACTGGTATAGAATTACCCATCGATATAGTTAAAAAAACGATGGATAGGTATATTGAGGCTTATAAATTATTAACTGATTCGGATCCAACTTTTCTGTTAAATAATTGTATTGTCTGATCAACAGATTCTAAATAATAAATAGCGTTTCATGAATAAATAATAAAAAGTATTTCGTTGGAGTCGCACCTCTTATAAAGTTCACAGGGACTAAACCTCGAATGATAATTATCAAGTTTATGATTGTGGCGTAATTTCAAGTGTGTCTACAAACGGTATCTACCGGTCTTTTTTTTTTTTTTTTGAATAGAATACCCTTTGAAAGTGGGCTTCCTTCCTTTGATAACCATTGTATTTTAACAAAATAAGAAATGCTTGATTATGAAATTTGCTAAGCCATGAAAAATTAATATCCTTTTTTTGGGATACCGTAGATGAATTTATTTAATGTTATTTTTTTTTTTTTTTGCTTCACAACTTTTCTCAACCTGTCAAAATTCATTTGTTGAATCAACATCTTTATATTTTTTTTAAAAATAAAAAAGGAAGATGTCAAAGTTATCAACAAAAACGACGACATATAAACTTCATGCGCCCAATTATGTCTCATCCTCGTCAGATAACAACAACGAAACCATCGAAAAATATATGATACCTTCACCGACACTTCCAGCAACCGCTAAATCACCTTCCCCTAGTAGGAACAACAATAAAGGGATCAAACAAAGAAAATCAATAAAATTCCGATCAGATGATGACAATAATAAATTTTCTACGAGACTCCGGAAAAAATTATCGAGAATAATCGAATTGATGACTTATTTTAGGTTAATCTTGGCTTTAACCCTTTATTCATTGATTTTGGTTGATGTTATACATATACACAAGAAAAAAGAAAAACCATTTTGGATAGAAATATTTATTCAAGTAATTAATGATAATATTTTTTTTAAAAAAAAAGATAAATCAAACCTAATAAACCTAATTCCATTTTTTTTTTTTTTAGACGATAAATGCAGGATTTATATTTCTAACGATAGTTGGACATCCAAAAAGGATAAGAAATTTACCAAGAGCCATTCGAATATGTTGGGCAGTTAGGAGAGGAGAAATACAAACTATACTTTCATTTTCATCAACATTTACCGAAATACAAAAAACTCAAATTAATGTAGCAAGAGATTATAAATGGTACGTTTATGATACTTTGGATTCTTCTTTAAATTGTACTCCCATAAAGTTATTATCAATTCTACTTATATGGAACATTGGAACTTTAGCACAATATGGAATATCAGGTAAATGCATAAAGTAACGATTCTTTTTTTTTTTTTATAAAAAAATAAAAGTAAGTATTACATATTAAAAAGTGTGCACTATCTAGGAATTTTGTGGTTCATTCCACAAGCCAAACGACCCGAAATTCCCTATATAACTCTGACGATAATAACATCAATTAGTGAATTATTGCCAATACCTGCTGTCGTGATTCAATCTAAACGCGCTAGAATGGCGCATAACTATGAAATTCGGTATACTTTTAGATATTCAATACAAGACTCTTGTTAGCATTTATTTGCGCAACATTTTCAAGAAACAGACATTTCTTCCGAATTTTTAGCAATTTATTTAATAAGCATGGGCATTGGTATATTATATATTATATATATATATATATATTTTAAAAAGAAAACAATAATACCATATTTGCGCATTAACGGATGTCGCGTCAAGCATACGGTTTTGGAAATTAATGAATGTGACATCCATTCAAAAATGTCAAATCATTCACAACCCAAAACTTTCCAATTACGAACGAAATTCCAACAATCACATCACATTTTACGTGATTTCTGTACATTTTATTGAAGTGACGTGGATAACATAAAGAAAGTGGCTAAGCAAATGAATGTGATGCGAACGAATTATAATAACCGGTAGTTTGGTTGGCGGGCAAATTGTAAAAAAAAAAAAAAATTTACACTTTCCCCACAATAAAGAAAACTCTCAAACAAACAATGAAGAAAAATAAAAAAAAAAAAAAAAGGAACAAAGCACAAACATACATATACTTTAACAACCCACATACATACATACATACATACATACATACAGCTCATTATTTATTCGTTTATTTTTTTTAATAAAAAAAAATATATATAATAATAATAATACGACCTAACGAAAAAGTTCCTTTGTTAATTTTGCTATTGTTCTATTACGCCGAATTAAAAAAGTTTTTTTTTCTTTACGTGATATCTGTATTATTAATTTTTTCAAAAAAAAAAAAAAAAAAAAAAATTATGCCCTTTTTTTTCCTCGAAACAAATTCGAAAAAAAGATGCAAATAAAAAAAAAAAATATGTTGTGTACGTAGTGTAATGCAACATAATTTTGACAGCAAAAAAAAAAAATATATCAAGCTCTAGATCGTTAAAGATAATAAGATAGGAAAGTTATCAAGGTATCATAACTTGCGTAAATGTTGAAGATTTTGGTAAAAATAAGTCAGTAATACATAAACTTACGCAACATAAAATACTGATTATATTAAAATAAAGATGGCTTACATTGAATTAATGAAAAAGTCCATTTCCCTCCGTTAGTTCTATTATAGTCAAAAAAAAAAAAAAAAAAAAAGTCCAATTCCCTCCCAAAAAACCAAAAAAAAAACTGAATACATTTTAAAAATGTTGAAGATT